AGCAGCAGCAGCAGCAGAAATCTTCTACCGGATTCCCGTTTCAGATGTTGTATTTCTGCCTGCAGTCATTAGCGTTTCCTGTGTAGGTTTTTCATCTGTGATGGGTATCTGTATCTGTGTGTGTGTGTATTTTTAGCAGATATCCCACAAAATGCAACATGTTTTCAAAACACACAGCCCATAAAATAGGGATAAGCGGAAACTGTTTTATTTTCGCTACCGATTACCGATTAACAAGAAATTTGAAGTGATTTAAGGAGATTTTAATTGGAATTAATAGCAGGAAATGTTTGGTTTAGCATTAGTCATTAATATCTATCAAAATCCTATTTAATATGTGCAAAAATCCACATAAATTTCCATTTTAGTTGCAGAATTACTCTTCTAAAATACACTTCCAAAACTTCCTGCTAAACCCAATTATTTCCATTTTTTCTGCCACAAATAAATGCTTGTGTATTCATTATTTTGCTGCCCGCAGAACTTGACATCGAATTGGAAATCAGAGCAACAAATAAATACAAAAAAACACAAAAGAAATTGCAGCAAAAAGTAGAAGTGTTTAATATTGTTTAAGCCCACAAAAAAAAGACTTTTTTCGTGCACGCATTCCAGACATGATATGATAAATGCACAGAATTATGGAATATTCATACGATGGCTTATGGATGTTGCTGACAGAAACAGAACCGGGGGAATGGCATTGGAAAAGTGTTTATAGCAGAAGTGAAATAAGCAGAAGATTGCCAGTAAATAAATTGAAACAAAAAAGGTCTGGAAAGGTCTCAACAATTTTGAGAGCACTTAGAGGAGGAGAAGTAACCCTACTAGAGAGCCCAGAAGCTCTGCCGACAAAAGCCATACAATTTGCTATTAAAACTGCTTCTTATTCCGTGAATTGTATTTATTTTCGTTTCTGTTGTTTTTTAATGAATATTTTTGTATAATTAGGTCACATGTTGACATCACTTTTTGCCAGGGTAATAATTTTGTATTAATTAATTTGACAATAGCAAACGGTAAATGGCCATTGATAAGGCAATGCCCGCCCGTTCTCTCGGCCAGAGATCAGACTGTGGCAGGAGGGCACGGGCAGGGGCAAGGTGCCCGTCCGTCGCCGGCTTGTTAACCAGAAACACAGAAGCAGCAGCAGCAGCAGCAGCAGCAGCGGCAGACACTGGCACTGACAGCAAAATGAGGGAATAAAATAACCTGTTTGCATTTGATTTTTGCCAGGGTTTTGGCCGCCTCTACCCTGGAAAAGATCGAGAGAGGTATTATGATTTTATAGAGATTTTTGTGACTGGAGGAAAGGGAAGGAACACTTTCCTGATTCTATTTTTCTATGAATGGTTACACATATCTGACTGAAAGTTCTACCAAATCTAATGACCATATCCCATAGTTATTAAATGAAAATGATATCTGTTAGTGCATCAAAAGCTGCGACCCATAAACCTACCTATTTCTGGCCTTTTCTTGCTGCTGGTCCGCTCTGCCTCTCCCTTTTCGCTGCTCTCCGCTGTCTGCTGTGTTAAATAATTGTATTTAAATCGCGACTGGCAGTGACACTTGTTTGTGCAAACAACCGAACAAACAAACGCAAACCCACAGAAACACAGAACGACAGAAACGACAACAAAAATCGAATGTGAATGCGAATGCGAATGCGAATGAATGTATCTTTTGAATCGTTTGGATGAATTAGCCAAGGGGGACATCGCCCCCGCTCTGCCCCACCACAGTCTTTGCCTTTCGCCTCTACGGATACCCGACTTATTAATGAAAACGTTTCAAATGCCACATTTCACATTTCGTGCGCCATTGAATCCACATCTCTTTTTGCTGTATTTTTATTTTTTATTTGTATTTGTGTACTTTTTGTTGCTGCTGCTTTTTGTTGTATTTTATTCACAAAATACGAGAATACGCGCGAAATTGGCAGCGCTCTCTGCCAGCGAGTTGCTGCCTCGGAGGTGCTGCTGCCTGCCTGCCTCTGCTGCGTTCCAAGGTCAAAGTTTGCCTCAGAAGAACAAGAATTTTAGCGCAATTAAAAATAAGCGTGAAATGAAACAAACAAAAAGAAAAACAACAACAAAATCAACAAAACAAAAGGCAAAAAGGCAACAAAATTGTTTTCAAATTACGTGTGTACGCCGCGAGTGTTCCTATGTGTGTGTGCGTGTGTGTGTGTGTGTTTTCCCGCTGCTGTGCTTTGCGGCCAATTAATTTAAGAATGAAATCGAAATCTTGGCATTACTTTTAGTGGGTGTGCAGGGCACTACAGTGGGGCAGGGGGTCGGCTGCTCAGGGGGAATACGTCAATAGAAATGAGAAATTAAGGCTAGCTTTAGCCCAAAAAGATTTGGGGCATACAAATTCAGAAGATAATAACATTTAGAATAGGGTTCCTTCGGAAATGAGAGTCCATCCAATGATCCCAGTCCCCAGGGTATGCCAAAACAAAGATCGTTTTATTTTCCCAGCTATTTTATTAAATTTTAAATTTTTGTAGCAATTTGAATAAGTTTTTAATGGCCAGCATTTACACCTTTTAATGGCATTTCCAGCCGTTCAAAATTCACTAGTTTACGCGGAATTTATGGCCAATATCCACTAATTATTGATATTAGGAGCTTGAAGTGGGAGAATTCCATTCATTGGGAATGTATTTCGAGCATTTGGGCTAGTTCTATGTCTTTTTATAGCCACATCAAAGCATTTTCACTATAATTCATTCTTTAAAAAGATACCAAAAAAGAAACGAAGCAAAAGAGCAAGAATATTGGCAATTTACTACCAAAAAGAAAAACTTTAAATCAAAGAATCTCTGGGAATGACGCTTACATATGCCCAACGATTGCCAAAGATACAGACAGACATACAAATATATATGAGATATATAGAGGGACCTGTGTTTTTCTTATTGGCAATCACTGGCCCCATCCCCTCGTCGTGTGTTTTCGTTGATTTTTTCTATTTTGTTTTTTTTGCCCCTACCCAATTGTTGATCATTCTCGAAAATTGTTTTTGAGTACCGGACATGACGTCAATAAGTGGGCGTTTGTGTTAATTTTCTTTATTTTATAGCCCCCTGCCGAGGGACGTATGCACACTTTTGACCATTTCGTAGTGCTCTTACAGTTGTTGAGATCTCTCTATAAATACTTTATTTGTTGGACCATAAGTCCAACGTGTGTGGCCAAGGTATGGCGCGCTCTTAGCACACATTTATCACTGCAATATTCTGCCATAACTAAAGCTCTCTTCTCTGTCTCTATGCGCCCTTGTGTTCCCCTCATATCGCTCTCATTTTCTTCACATATATTTTGTTCTCTTTTTCTTTCCTGTTTGCTTTTGGCTCTGCAGATATGCCCCCCATTGGCGCTAGCAAAACAATTTTTATGCCTCACTATAATAATAATAATAATAATAATTCGTTGGCCTTTTTTATTGCTTCGATATGGGAATATACTTTGGTACGGTAAACAGTTTTTTCTTGTTGCAATTTTTATGGTAATAATTTCCTGTATTTCCTTATTTGCCAGCGCCAATGAGTGGCTCTTTAATTATGTGTGCAAGCAAATGTTAATCGAGAATGTGACTGTCTGCTGCAGGGAGAATGCTGCAGAGATTTGTCTCTCTACTATTGAAAATAGAATCACTGGAGATCCTTCTCAGAGATCTTTCTGCTCCTGAAGATCAGTCTTCCTACCCTTTAGATCTCTCTCTGCTCTGCAATTCTCTGCTAATCCTAGAGACTTCTCTCCCTGTCTTGTGGTTCAATCGTTTGTCGGGCATTACTCATGCGTCGCATGGACCTGGGACCGGCCCCATTCCGTAGCCCCAGGCCCCGAAAGCAAAAAAAAAAGAAATTAATTTTTGCTCTCATGTTTTTGTTGCTGTCTTGCCATAAATCTGACAAAAACATGCCATAAAAATACAGTTGTTTTGCCATAAAAATGTGCCATTATCATTGTCACATCATTCCAGATCCAGGGGATATGTGAAAACCCATCGATCTACGCCGCCCCCAGTTCAAAGTTCAATCGTTCGCGAAAGCAAAAGTAGAATTTTGAGATATTTTTACGCTAATTTTGCTGCCATTATTAAATGAAAGTTATGTCCATTGTTTGTGTTTTTTTGTGTTGGACAAACGGAAATACTGAATGGAATGTGTGTGGAAATACGAAATATAATAACAAATTCTAGAGGGCAGATAGCAGCAGCAGCCGACTGCCGGCGGGGTGAAAGCAATTAAGACAGATAATGGGGGTTACCAAATGTCGAGGGCGGCATTCGAAATTTGTTTGTGTACGAAAGAAAGATTACTACAACTACTACCAGATCTGTGTTGCTGTCTCTCCAAAGTAATTTGATCTCCAACTCTAGATCTTAAGCCGAACCCACAAATTCCATAGAAACTTGAAGCTTCAAGTCCGCAGCGAGACATAATCTTCAAGCACACATCATCCCCCCAGCCCATTTCAAGTGAAACGAATGACGAGAAATATAATTATTAAACTTAGTAATAAAAACAATAAAAACTTCAAGTTTATGCTGTATCTTTAGAAGTGTTTTTTGCTTGGACATTGACCAACATTGCGCTCATGGCTCTTTCTCTCTGTAGTTGTATTTGTTTTGTTTGGAAATTAATTGCAAAACATTAAGCTGAAAGTGTGCAAAAATTAAAGCAGCTAAAACTTGATTAAAAGCACAGAAAAATTGTACTGTGAACCCGAGGCACGCCCCGGTTTCTTATAGAGAGAAGAACAGACCTTGTTTATTTTCGGTTTACTCTTTTTTTGTGTGTGTATTTGGGGTGCCCACGTGAGCTACGTGATATTTGAAATAATTCGTGGAATTCCTATAGTTTCGCTGGGGGGATCAAAGACCTTAAGTGAATATGATTAGACCTTGAACTAATGATAGAACTGGCCATCAAAATACCCTTCGAAATGCATTCCAAAATTAATGTAAATTTCTCTTTCTATTTGCAGATAGCAATCGTCGCAAAAAAGGCAAACACTGCAAAAGGATGACGGCAAATCGAGCTAATTCCGAGGGCAGAAATTACCATCGGAGGCATTGAGAGATCAGCGAGAGACAACAATCAAGAGAAAGGATATAAATATATGCCATAGAGCCATAGAGAGAGAGAGAGAGAGAGAGAGAGAGAGCTCTGGAGGCAGAGGTGGCGGTGGAGACGGGAGTGGAGTGGACGAGAAGTGTGAGAGTGTAGAAGGAGAGGAGCGGTAGCGGGGGAGTATTGGAGTACAACACTACATGGATCGCAGAAATGGCGGCGATCCCTTGGCGCCACCCCGGCCCCCGAAGCTATTACCGCGCGTGCATCGACCAAGGGCGCCGGAGCCGACACTAAGTGGTGTCCAAGGTGGAGTAGCATCCGTGGCAACCACAGCGAACCACAATAATAATTCACAGCAGCAACAACTTAGTATTAACACAGCGACTACGATAGCGACAGCGACAGCGACGACGACGACGACGATAAACAATAACACGATATCGATAATACCCGCATCAACGATTTCGGCCGATTACGATTCCGATTATCAGATTCATCATCTGACATTTCTGCCACAGCGACCGAGCAGCTTGAGTCGCAACAGCAGCAACGCCTCATCGTCGACAGCGACAGCGAATAGCAGCAGCACGGGCACAGGCACAGGCACAGGCACAGGCTCGGGTTCCATTTCCGTATCCGGTTCGAGCTTTCGCCGACGTCCGCCAGCACCGGCGCCGCTGCTGAGCTTAGCATCTGCGGCGGAGAACAACAACTTCCTTAGTCATTTCCAACAAACCAGCGCTGAGCAACCAGTGCCCCAGTCTCCAGTCACACTGGCGCAACCGCGACCCGAGTCCGAGAGGCTAACGAACGAGTATGTGGACACGCCGCTGCAGCATGCCACGCGCATGCAGCATCCGGCTGGGCAGCAGGACAATGGCCAGACGACAACGCATCATTTGCTGTTGCTGCCACAACGGCAGCAGCATCATCAGCAGCATCATCAGCAGCATCTGCAGCACCTGCAACACAATCCCCCGCATCACCATCAGCAATCCTCCTTTGCCCAGCAGCAGCAGCAGCAGCAACCTCATGTCCGACTGGGAGCGACGTCGACGACGGGTGCGACGACGGGTGCGACGCAGGGCGGAACAGGAGCAGGAGCAGGAGCAGGAGGAATCGATCATACCGATGGCTTATTACATTCACATTTGCACTCCACAACGCCAGCGCAACAGCAACAGCAACAGCAACAGCAGCATCACCTAAGCAAAGGACAACCCGCCACAAAGCCTCGACTGGGTCTGGGACTGGGTTTGGGTCTGGGTCTGTCACAGCAGCCCATTACGCAACCCATCATCACGAAGCAGCCGACAGCGACAACACCCGCCACGCAGACACAGACCAGCAAGGAGCATATGCACGCGTTGGAGGAGCTGCTGCAGGCACAGCCCGGCAGCGGAGGCGGCGCCGGACCCATTGTCATGGGTGGCGATCCCACGCTAATGATACCCATTGTGTGTCCACGCTGCGGCCGCTGTCGCTGCGAGCAGTGCCAGAGTCCGCGTCCGCTGCCACAGACCTGGGTGTGCAACAAGACGTGCCTGTGCAGTGCCGAGTCCATCATCGATTATGCCTCCTGTCTGTGCTGCGCCAAGGCGTTGTTCTACCACTGTGCGCGGGACAACGACATGGACTGCGACGATGGCAATGGCACGCCCTGTGTGGATAATCCCTGCTCCTGCGGCCCCTACAAGCGCACCCAGAGATGGGGCTGGCTGGGCGCACTGTCGATTGTGCTGCCCTGCCTCTGGTGCTACTGGCCGATGCGGGGATGCATGAAGCTGTGCGAGAAGTGTTACGGCAGGTTTGCGGGACGCGGTTGTCGCTGCCAGGGCGTGGGTGGCGCTGGAGGTGGTGGCATTGGTTCCACCAGCAGCATGCTGCCGATTGTGCCACTGGGCGTGAATGGAGCCAATGGCGGTCTCGGCGGTGGCCTCAACGGGGCCACCAATGGCGGGCAGATCGGAGGTGTGGGCATGGGACCCTTGAGCCAGGCCAATGGCAAGGCCATTGATCATGGCTGCAGTGCGGCCGCCAGTCGTATCCTTCGCAAAGGCGACCTCACACCCGAGAAGCGACTCCTCGACTCCAGTCCGGATTATTAGGAATTGAAAGAGGGAAAATCCCGTGTTCTGTGTGTGGTTTTTTCCCCAGACGAAAAAACCTCAAACACAGGGCAATGAAAATTCAAAAAGAAGGAGCTGGAATCTGGACAAAAATCGTGGTGGAACCCAAACCCCTAAAAATAAATATACACGAGTAAAGAAAATATTTAATATATGAACTAAGGGATATAAAAAGAAGAAAAGAGGAAGGAAAGAAAGAAAGAGAAAAAATTAAATAACCAAAGACTGCAAACAGATAATTATTAATTATTAGAAATGTTATTTAAAAAAAAATATAATTTTTTTGCTTAATTAAAACAAAAGGGAAATGAGAAAAAAAAAAGGAAAAGCGAAAGAGAAAACTGAGGAATTAGGGATTCATATTTGGCTTTTTTCTTATGATGTGTTTTTGTATTATTTTTCGCTTTTTTTTTGTTTGTAATTTTTAAATTCAATGTTCAATTTCTAAGTCAAATTTTTAATTTTTAAACAATATATTTTGTATGTATAAAATGTATTCCAATGAATTTTCCAATGCGAAAAACACACACACACACACACACAACCACACACAAATGTTTGTATGGGGGTGAAAAGCGAGAGTAGAGGAAACATTTTTTTATTTTCATATACAAAGAAGGCAAAGGAAAAAGGATTTGTAATGAGGCATAACACCAGATTATATAAAGCACCAACATATAATCCTATATACAACATATACTACGGGAAAGGGAATGGAGAAGTTTTTAGAGAAATATTACCAAATGGCATAAGAAATTGTAGTCGAATAAATTAATATTATACCACGTCCATTTTTGATGTTGTACCAAAAACACACACGTAAAAAAAAATATTGTACGAATTTAATGAAATCTTAACTTAAATATTGATGTACATGAATGTGCCGTAATTTTCGGAAACCAAGCCATAGACCAGGTTCTACTACTACTACTCGTGTGTAAATGTGCTTATAGAAAGGATTTCGATACTCGTATAAATATAAATGTAATCTATTGGTAGCCCGGAGCAAATCTGTCTTTGAGAGAAGAACACTACTATATATGGGAATAATGAAATTAGTTTCTTATGAATGTATTTTATAGACGCTATTCCGTACGCCCCGAAAACCCCAAAGAATGCAAACAAGAATTGTACATAAACGATGAAAAGATATTCCAAATAATAGCAGAACAAAACAAAACTGAAGGAACAACTGAAAGAATGAAAGAAAAAGCCAAGCAAAACTTAAATGTAAAATGCAGCAAAAAACGACAACTTTTTTGTATAGAAAATATCCATATGAAATATGATACAACAAACAAAAACAAAAACAAAAAACATTTAAAGAATAAAAACAAATACAGTGGCAAATTAGCAACTTAAAAGCAAAACAATTTATACGACAAAAAGAGTAAAGTAAACTAAACAAAAATTAATATTAATAAACAAAACAAAAACAAAAACAAAACACTAAAAACAAATTACAATATATATTCGCTATATATATATCTGTAATCTGTATATGTACTATACTATAACTATGATATATATACGATACGATACGATATGCCTAGATATACCTATGCTTAAAAGAATCCTAACTATTAAAACAAAAACAAAAAACTATAAAAATGCAAACCACAAACACAAAAAATGCAAAACACAGAAAAAATCCCACAAAAACAAACTAAAAGAATGGAAAAAACAGAGGATGGAACTCCTCAAACATTTAGTTGGTAAAAATGCAAAAAAAAAAACAAAAAGAAACAGAAAATATCGATACCGTAAAACCATAAAACAAACAACTTTTAAATATCTAAGGCACCCCCCCCCCCCCCCCCCTCTATACATACAAAAAACAAAACAAATCTATGCTATAATGAATATTTATTTTATTTGTACATTTCATTATAATATTACACAAAAAACAACAAAACTGAATAGAAAGGATGGAATGATAGATGTTAGAGGATAGAAGATGATGAATGGATGGATGATGGATGATGGATGGATCAGGATCAGGATCCTGTGAGAGCATGAGAACCAGAAGAACTTTATGTAATGTTTTTAGAATGTATGTTCCGTTAAAAACTACAAAATAAAAAAAATCATATAATACTAAAAAAATATCTACAACAAATTGTGTTCATTTTTTTCCATTGCTCTCGAAATGCAGCAGAGATCGGATCGAATGGGAGCTCCGTCTCTCTCTGTGTGTGTGTGTGTGTGTGTGTGTATGTGTTGTGGCTCTCTCTGTGTGTGTGTATTGGTGTGCCAAATGGCTATGGCAAAATAAAACTAAAGCAGCTGTTTCCGGTATTTGATTGATAGTGAACTGGCAGTTTGTTTATCTCGCGCACACACGGACCCCGAACCGAACCGGACCGGACCGGACCGACGACGGCCTATGCCGATGCCCGATGCCCGATGCTGATGCCGCCGGGGCCCCAGAACGCTACATACAGCGGTTCTCGTTTGGATTGGATTGGGGCTGCCACACACAGATGCTGTTGAACGAACCACACACACACACACACACACAAATTTGTACTACTATGGCAGAGGCTGTGCTATCCAGTGGCAAGCAATGGCTGTGGCTGTGGCTGCTGCTGCTGCTGCATTTTGCGGATGCTATTTGGGGCCGCCGTCGGCGCACTTATTTTTAAATTACTAAAAACTGAAAAAAAGAGATCAAAAAAACATGTCGAAATAATGTTAAAGCGGTTTCAAGACTATAGGAATACCTGTGGGCGGTATTTTTATAGAGATTTCAAATGCATTTCGAATGGAAATATTTACTAGTTTTGGGTGTAATAATACTGAAATAATTGTAAATATTTTTGGTAGATGCTAGACAATATGTATAAAAAAAAGTACATCAAATTTCGAAGCAAAACTTTACCGATTTGAATGATTTTTGGCGTTTAGGTAGATAATAGCTATATAAACAAATCTACACAATGCCAGCTCCATAGCATAATTTTTGTAGATTTTGAATGACCAACTTCTTGCTCTTTGAATCTATTGGTCATTCTTCCCCGATCGGAAGTGCATTCTCCCACCGAGATCCAATCCAACCTTGTTGCCCACACTTACAGGGTATTAAAAACTGTTGCCGCTGCTGCTCTTGTTGCCTGCCTGCACAAACATTGCGGGCGGCGGCACACCGACAACCTACGAGGAAAATTTACAACGGAAGGCGCGCATCAAATGTTGCAAGCGCACACACACACACACACACACACACACACACACAGTCGCATAGGGAGAGTGAAAGAGAGGAGAGATGTGCCTGTGTACTTAATTTAAATTTAACTGCAAAATATTTTCACTCGCACTGGAAGCATGGGGAGGAAGTCGTGACGAAAAAATATTTCTCATTCCAGAGATCTTTCATTTGGAGAGTGTTGTATAACGTGGCTCTAAGAACAGCTGATTGGGAGGGGCTTACAGGGCTTAGAGCTTACAGCTGGAAAGCGGGCCTTGGAAAGCATGCAAATGTATAGGTGTTGAGTTGCCTTGTAGATTTATAAAATGATTTTTGCTGAAATTTGCTAAACACTCTTCGAAGAAAATTGCCCTTGCCAACAATATTACGAGCTGAAAGCTCTTAAGATCACCCAAACTTGGCTTAGATAACTCTACACTTCAGGCATACTCTACTGCCCTCTGCACTTCTCAGTAATTTCCTAATAATTCTTAAGAATTCTATGAAAAAAATACATCTATTAAGTGCTCTCAGCACGTGCAAAGAAATTGTGTCAGCTGCTGCTCAATGATGCGAAATGAAATTCACTTGGTTTTTTTTTTTGCATTGTTTTGGTTGTTGCTTTTTTGTTTCTTGTGTTCGTTTGAGTTTGTGTTTTGTTGTTAATTAATGCAAAGTGCAGTAACCGTTTTGCATAATTGGAGACTGCGACTGAAACGGCGAGTGAGACGACGACGACGACGACCGCGACGACGTCCCTCAGTTGGTGGGCATTGGGGCATTTCATTATTCAATCATAATTCGCGAGCTCAAAAACCGCGAATTACAAACAGTTGAGGCACAGAAATATATAGTAGTACGAGTCGCGTCGTACGAGTGGTGTATGCCTCTGCCTCAGCCTCAGCCTCTCCCGCTCTGTGTGTGTTTGTTCATGTTTTCTGGGCAGTGATAACCCAGCGCTTTGCGCCCCCGGGGTCTGTTGGGGTCACTTTGGGTAGCTTTTGCAAAAAAGCAAATGGAAAAAAAAGAGGCAAAAATAAAAGAAATATGAATATATACTTGTAATCAGTGGACGGGACGGGATGGGACGACTCTAGCGGCACACTACACAGAGAGTGTGTGTGCTTCAGACAGCCGCCGCTCTGTGACTCGTCTACGATAAGAGTTGTTCCTGCTGCTTGCTGCTGGCTGCTGGCTGCTGGCTGCTGCACTTCAATCACATTCATCAGTGTCTTCTCTGTGTCTGTGAATTCTGCTCCATTCATCCATCTCTCATTCAAAGTGTGTCAATCAGAGCGGGTTTCTTGTGCAGCAGCGACTGCAGATTCGTTGCAAAGTAGTAGCAAAGTGTGACTGTTATTTGATCAATCATTCGATTGCCCTATAAAACTATTCTGGCGAATTCCGATCGGCATTTCAAGGAATTCCTTTGAAGACTCTCCCATTCAAGTCAAGTTTTGAATCATTTGCTGAATGATGAATATCTGAGATGCAACTACGGAATGAGTGGCTCTGGAAGGTATTGTACTTCTACGACAGTCAGAGGAGGAGGCAGGCAGCGCATTGATAAGTTCTCTCTATCAGTGGAGCGTCCGCCTCTCGCTCTGTCTTACTGCTTGTTTAATCTCTACATAATACAAATGTATAATAATACACATACAAATTATGTACACTTGTACGTATGTCTTTCCATAGCACTTAAAAAAAAAGAAACGATACGTTTTGCGCATTGCAGACATGCTGGAAGCTCTTGAATGACAGATCAATGAAATCATTATGAATTTCGCTGAAAACGAAATCTCATGCCCCTCATTCGTCGCTGAAAAATGCCGACTCATTTCTGGAATTGGGAACAGGTTCAGGAGAATCCTTGGGGCCCGCCGGCCGGCCGCGGCGGAAGTTGGACTTGTGGTTGGTTTTCGTATGCATCCCGCGTCGATCGATCGGTTGTCTGGTCGGTGCCTCTTCCGTTCCCTCTGTTTTCTGTTCTTTTTGATGTTTGCTCCTTTTCTGAAGTGTAGAGTGAAGCGGAGAGGTGCAACAGGTGCAACACACACACAGTGAAAAATCACAACAAATACTGACATCCGCTTTGAAGGAACGGAAGCACCTGTGATATGGCATAAAGGTGATTCGATTCTATCGCTCCATGGGCACGCCTCTCTGCCAGCCACTTCCTTCGTCAACGATGGGTCGGGTACTCCTCCTCGTCGTCCACTTCTTCCTGGATTGATGCCACACTTAAATTGGTAGCCCCTGCCACCACCCGTTCCCCCCACCTACTGCAAGATCGTCTGACAAATTCATTTGACACTTTGTGTTGTGTTTTTTTGTGTGTTTGTGTGCCACAGGTCTTATCGTTTTTTGTCGAGTGCTCTGCGGTTTGTTGCTATATGTAGTACGCGTATCTGTAGAGCCCATAGCCACACAGAGAGCGAGATATAGCTATAGTTGAAAACTTGTTTCGGCTTTTCGATGGCATTCTCAACATGTTTGCCATGTCGTTGCCATGTCTCTATGTTGCCAGTTGCCTGCTGCTCGTTGCCTGCCCCGTTGCCTGACTGTTGCTTGAAGCACATA